TCTGAACCTCTTTCGCCATATCGTATCCTAGATATCTGTCTTTCCTTAAAGCAATAAAATAAGAATAATATTCTCCACTATTTATAATCGTATCCTCTACTCAATTGCTATCACTCTTATACCTTTCCTATCTCAAAACAAGTCCCAGCATCAGAATATCTTTATAAAGCTCATCTCATCTCATCTCATCTTAAAACTTTTTTTGTCATATAAAATAAACCCAACTTGATATCGAATATTGATATTAAGGAAAAGTAAGCAAAACAAGATAGAAACGAGGTCATAAACATCGACTAGCTGGCTAGGTGATGTATTCATTGTAATTGTTTGATTTATTTCAGTGGTTTTTGTTTTTGTTTTGTACATTTTGGTAAAGGAATCATCGAGCTATGGAATATTTGGACGATTCAGGGTCTCCAGACCTATTATATCATGAACAAACTGAAATTGGTACTAGACGTCAGAGGAAGAGTTCCAAGTTTACCATGGGTAAATATACTATTTATGAGACTGCTGAGAGGATGTATATCGTTGGGAGCAACAAACGAGAGAGTATGTTTAGAATATTGGAAATCGATTTAACTATACCTTCAGATCGGTTAAATGTATTGGAAGACAATGTCTTCTTTACAAGAGGTGAAATTATGAATGTTTTAGCTGGATTAGAACTTGTAAGTGGTGAAGGGTTGACCAAGAAATTGACAGGTGAAGGTTTACTTGGGTTTATAAGGTTCACGTCGTGTTATTATTTAGTCGTGATAACAAAATGCAGTAAAGTGGCAGTAATAGGTGGACATTATATATATCATATCGATGAAACTGAGCTAGTTCCAGTTTGTAAAAATTACAAAAAACCTGATAAATATTCTAATGAGGCACGTTTAATGACAACTTTCCAAAATTTAGATTTGACTAAAACTTTTTATTTTAGTTATACTTATGATATCACAAATACTTTACAAACAAATTTGTTAAGAGAGAAGTTAGTAGCTGTAGCTAGAGAAGACGTCACAATACCTGCTGGTATATCTGATTATAATGAAATGTTTGTCTGGAATGCCTATCTTTTATCGCCAGTGCTGTCATGCATCGACACTGTCTTTGATTGGTTTCAAGTAACATTGCATGGATTTATAGATCAAGTCAATGTTTCAATCTTAGGGAAAAGCATATACATTACACTGATAGCTAGAAGATCACATCATTTTGCTGGTGCTAGATTCTTGAAGAGAGGTGTCAACACACGGGGTTACGTTGCAAATGAAGTAGAAACTGAACAAATCGTGTCAGATATGATTCTTACACCATTCCATCAACCTGGAAACGGATATTTTGATAGTGATAGATATACTTCTTTCGTTCAACATAGAGGGTCGATACCTCTGTATTGGACTCAAGATGCTTCGAATTTAGCCACTAAACCACCTATCGAGATTAATATAGTCGACCCGTACTTTTGCTCAGCTTCCCTTCATTTTGATATGTTGTACCAACGTTACGGTGGTGGTAACATACAAGTATTAAACTTAATTAAAACTAGAGAGAAAGTTGCTAGAGAAATAAAACTTTTGAAGGAATTTGAACAGTGCATTGCATATTTGAATAATTTTTTACCAATTGACAAGAAAATAGAATATACTTCTTGGGATATGAGTAGGGCTTCAAAACAAGATGGGCAGCGTGTTATCGAATTTTTAGAGAGATATGCCCTAGAGTCTGTTACAAAGACTGGATTGTTTCATAATGGATTTGATTTTAATAGTACAAGAATCCAAGAAGGCATTTGTAGGACTAACTGCATTGACTGCTTAGATAGAACAAATGCCGCACAGTTTATCATTGGTAAAAGGGCATTAGGAGAACAGTTGAAGGCATTAGGTATAATTGATGACAGTAACTTGGAGTATGACTCCGATATTGTTAATATTCTAACAGAATTATTTCATGACTTAGGGGATACAATTGCATTACAATATGGTGGTTCTCATTTGGTTAATACGATGGAAACTTATAGAAAGATCAACCAATGGAGATCCCATTCAAGAGACATGATAGAGAGCATTAAAAGATTTTACAGCAATTCATTTGTTGATGCCCAGCGACAAGACGCCATTAATTTGTTTTTAGGCCATTATGTTTGGAAAGAAGGGCGTCCTAATTTATGGGAAATGAATACAGATTTTTACCTTCACAATGATGCCCTGGCAATTTCAAAGAGAAGTTATACACATTGGTGGAACAACTATCATATTTACAGTTTACGAACATTTTTGAAAGAGCAGATAATCGATTTGGGAAATGATGTTACATATGACAATATTGTGCGTAATGTTCGTGGATATCCTGATGCGTTTGATAATTATTGGAATGAGTACTATGCTCCGCGCTGTCTAACATTCATGCAAGATCTATTTGCCTATAATATGAATTCTACTCGATTATATCACACTTCTAAGATTCGTAGCCAAGCAATTTCACCATTTGCATCACGAAAGCAAGGTTCGATTAACAGTAAATTAAGAAATATATCGTCTGAGTTCTACAAAGAAAAAGAAAAATTAAAACGTCCACAACTCTCCAAGAAAACAGTTTTTAATGGTAAGGATGAATTAGAATTAGTGGAAAACAATTTAAAAGACACTGTTAGCACTAGAAATTGGATAAAGAAAACTTTAGATTCATGCATGACGGATTCAGTTCCAATAATTCTTAGAGATAGACTTAAATTACCATATGCGGGAGCAAGTGATATTAACGAAACAGATTCCGCCAACATAACCTTGTCGAACATCCCGATCGATAAGACATACCATTCAAGTCATTACGAGCATTTATCAGCTGACGTTGGGTATTATAAGAAGATTATACAGGTCAACAACTATAAGCCTAATTATTCTAACAAAATTCATTCAGATCTTGATAGAATAGAAGTAGATGCTAATGATATATCTATATATCAAGAAGCGCTGAGCGTTGGTGATAGAAATTTGATATTCATTTAAGAATCAAGTTAAATTTAATTTTATTCTATTCTGTTCTATTTTATTATATTATATGTTTATATTCTGTTTCTGTATATATTATGTATATGGCATACCTATTAAGACAATGTTTAAAATACCAATAATACCACTTCGCCAATATGAGATCACGTCGGTTTCGAAACGTTGATTTATTCTTCGACTGTATTTGTGAATTGGTTAAAATTTTTCTTGACTATTTCATTGAACTCTCCAATTTGTTTTCCAGAACAGTCCAAAATGGATTTATAACATGCAAGAGTATTTTTTATATCATTAGATTTCAACCAAATCTTACCATTTAAGCCAATGGCAATTTCGAACTGGGCATGTTTAGCTAATAGTTTCAGGAGTGGGAAATCATTATTATACAAAAGCTGACGAGCGAACCCCAATGAAACTTCAGCTACCATTCCTTCATCTAGAAGGCCAAAACCAGCATCTTGACCGGTTGTAGAATCCATACATTCAATTTCTGCTTCCAATTCCTTTTCAGAAGAACAGACACGAGCATAGACTAAGTCACCAATCTTTAAAGTTGGCCTATTCTTCTTGGAAGCATTTGGAAATGCCATATATGATAAAGATACTGGTGTTGAGAAACTTGAAAGTGAAACTCTATAACTGTCTGCAAAGGCACCAGTAATCACACCAATGACAAAATCACCAGTAGCTGGAATATAACGCTTGGAATCATAATCGACATAAAGAGTTTGACCTCTTTTATTATCAGTTCTATTCAAAACACCTGCATTTACAGGCAATACCATTTGAGTTTTTGGATCGCAGTACATACCTGGACCCAAAGAAACTGGTTTACCAGCATCTACTTCAACATTATCACCAGGGAGAACCAATACTGACATCACTATACTATCAATCACCAATGTTACCGTATCCTGTGCCTCGATAACCTATGAGAAAGCAACTCTTTTATTATATCAAGAGATGAGATGAGATGTTGTTAGTTAACATTAAATACCAATCATTTTTCAAATTCTTGATATTTTAAGAGCTATGAAAAATTATTACACATTGAAGAACTGATGGATAAGAGATGAGTTTTAAAAGATTTGTGAGGTAGGATATGTGTTAAACACGTCTATAGTTGGTGATTTTGTTTCTTGATGTTTGTTTGAACAGCTTCCATTGTTTTTCCTGATCATTAATTGCTTGAGAATTGATTAATTTCAATTTCAGCTGATTATGATCGATGAGATGAGCTAAAGTATTAGCACTAGAAGAAGGAATTCGTGGGTTATTTTGTGATCGTGAGCAACTGTTCTCTATGGATTTGATCTGCATTGCATAGTTGTTTAATCGGTTTCCTTTGTGGGTCTTATATTTTAGCAATTTTTATCATTTTGGAAGCTTAATGTAAGTAAATTCTCTTGGTATGACTAAGGAACGTTAACTTTAGATACGAGGAAGTAGTAAAATTTATAAACTTATATTGTCAAAGTTCTAGTTGTAATTGCCCTACATATTCCTAGTTGTTTGATAGAATTTCGATTTGTATATCTTGACTTCTTTATATTTTAGCACTCCGTTTCTTACCAATTATGTTATTAGTAAGTAACATATAATAATAAAGCAGTCCGATTAAAAGTTATAGAACTGATGATCACTCTTTTTAGAAGTTATTTATAAGAAAGTGATGGAAACCCAACTGATCAGTTATGTCAAACGGGTTCTCGTTGACTAAGTTGTTTCCAAAATGTTTGACTACAGTTTTGTTTGTCTGGACAGGTCTTGTTACAATACAAGAGGTTCATTTGATTTCCACTACTATTATTAGCACATCGATAATAATAACGTTTGTTTTGTCAATTTACACATATTATAAGGTAATAATTGTTGGGCCAGGAAGTCCTCTAGACTTTGGTCAACTCACAGTTCGTAATATTAAGGATGCTGAAGATGGAATTGAACTTCCCCCAGATTTTTTAGCTCAGAGATCATTCACTTTGAAGCATGATGGTAGATTTAGAGTTTGCAGAACTTGTAACGTTTGGAAACCAGACAGGTGTCATCATTGTTCTGCCTGCGATAAATGCATTTTAAAGATGGACCACCATTGCCCTTGGTTTGCTGAATGTGTAGGATTCAAGAATCAAAAATATTTTGTTCAATTCCTGATCTACACTACAGTGTATGCAATCTTGGTTATGACATATACATCATTTCAGATTTATGATTGGTTCAAAAATGAACTATATGAAACTGAGATTATAAAAATAAGACTGCTGATGGTTTGGATCTTATCTGTGGCAGTTTTCCTAACAGTAACCTGTTTCACTGGTTTCTCCATTTACCAAACGATTAATAATAGAACAACGATAGAAATGTATACATTAAGAAAATATAGAGAAGAACTCGAATTATATGGTAATTATAGAGATTCACAATTGACAAGGAATATATTTGATCTAGGCTCCACTTGGGAAAACTGGTGCGAAGTAATGGGAACGTCACTATGGGAACAACTAATGCCAGTAAGAACCAGAAAATCGATACTAAACAGGAACACAATAGATGAAAAGGGTTTATATTTCCGTATTAATGATAAAGTTAATCAAAGTTTATTGGGAAGTGCTGACCTTCAAAATAGACTAATGAGAAGACTAACCCCAAGATCATCTGTAGATACTAACCGCTAATACCCACTATTAATAGTAATATTATTATTATTATTTACACTAGTCACTCAATTAGCATCTGAATGGCGGCTACTATGGAATTAATAATAACATGAATGCAAAACATTCGAACTTCATGTATATTACAATGATTGATTCCTTACAACAAAGAGTTTATATTCTCTGAAGCAGCATAGTAGATATTATAAAAATTGGAATTGTTATTGTTAAAAATAATTAAATTAAAGATGGCTATTGTACAATTATTTAGTGGCATATATAATTAATTATATATAATGCATGTTATTTTATTACTTTATTAAATGGGAAACAGAAAGTTACAATATTTTTTATAGCACAACTCCCATTATATGAATTATGAAAGGACTCAGAATTATATTATATTATTCCAGTATAACTTAGAATAATAATGCTAAGATGACTACAGTCAAACCTGTAAAGCCAGCTTTAAATGTATTAGCAATACCTTCATAAGTTGACAGAACTGGAGTGGTTGTAGAATTCGACATGACAGTATTAGTAGTCAAGGATGAATGACCGATAATAGAAACAAATTCATCCAAACTTGCTTCAACTGAAATATGTCTAGTTGTAACGTAAGTGCTCTTGGTAATGTTGTTAATAGAGTAAATTGGAGCATAGCTTGAAGTACTAATCTTAGAGTTTAATTTGGTGGTTTCAGTAATATGAGCAGTTGAAGTAGTTGTTGAGTTTGTGGTAATGTTGTATAATGGATAATAGGTAGTGTGAGTCTTGTATTCGGCATCAACGTTATTGGTAACAATTGTTGAAATGATATCAGTTTGCTCAGTTGAAGAGATCTTCTTTGTTGATGAAAGTTCGGATATTGGGCAATAAGTGGTGTAACTTGTGATTTTACCAGAAACAGTGACAGTGACAACCTTAGATGTCATTTCGGCATCTTCAGTTTTAGATACTGTTGGAGAAATGGTTGAGATTGGGAACCAACTTGTATAACTAGTAACTTGACCATCGATGGTAACAGTAACAATTGAAAAGGTTAAGTCGACGGAATCGACACTAGAAACTGCTTCAGTAGCAGTTGGTTTAAAAACAGTAAATGTAGAAGTTGGAGTTGACTCTTCAGATGTAGAAGTTTTTTTAGTTGAGCAAGGGAACCAACTTGTGTATGAGGTGATTTGACCATCCTTAGTAACGGTGACGACAGAATAGGTTAATTGAACTTCTTCTTCGGTGGTAGTTGAATTGTATGAAGGAATGCTAGTATGGCTAGAAATTTGGGAATCAGTGATGGTAGTAGTGGTAGTTGTTTCTAAATCACGAGTGGTGGAATTAGTACTAGAAATTGAATTAACAATTGCTGTAGTAGTGTTCGAGGATGAAACTGTGGCAACAGGGAACCAGCTGGTGAAACTTGTTAATTGACCATCAACGGTAATAGTAACAACAGAGAAAGTTAGTTCAGCATCTACGTTATTTGTGACAGTTTGATGAGGAGTTGAGATAGTCTTTGTTATAGTACTATTGTTGACAATGGTGGCAGTTTGTAGCTCCAATGGTTTGGTTGGTTGGACAGTGGAGATCGGAAACCAGCTAGTGTAACTAGTAACTTGACCATCGATAGTGACAGTTACAACAGTTGAAGTCAATATAGCAGTAGAATTGCTACTTGAGGTAGATGGCACGGATTGAGAAACAGAGCTTTCAGTTTCAACGGCAATTGGTGTTGTAGTAGAAATAGCAGATGAAGTCATTGGGACAGATGAGGAAGCGATTTCGGTAGAAGAACTGATTTCAGCAGATGAAGTGTTTTCAGTAGATGAAGTGATTTTGGCAGAAGGAGCTATTTCAGTAGATGAAGCGACAGTGGTAGAATTTGAACTGGAAGTGGTACTTTTACCTATACCTGCAATATTGTTAGTCTTAGATGTGCTGAGTGCGGTAGTGTAGATATATGAAAAGCTGGAGCATTGACTGTAAGAAGAAGAATGGAAAACTTCAATAGTGCTAGAAATTTCAAATAGAGATGTAGATATAACACTACTAGAAGTTCTGTTTCTTTGTGTTGGGACAGAAATAGAACCAGATAGAGTCGATTGGATACTGGTCAATTCAGTCTCAACTGGAATAGAAGATTCTAAATCTGATGAAGATGTTGAGACCTCTGATTCGGAGTAGCTAGATGTGGAGCTTGGTACTTCTTCGATAGAAGAATCATATTCAGAGTTAGCAGAAGAGGTAACAATTTCTTCAGAAGTAGAGGTGGAAGCTGTTAGAGATTCAGATTCTAGTAGAGTGGTTTCTTCATTGATGCTAGAAGAGACATAGACAGTTGATGATTGAATTGGGGAACTTGAATTAGCGTAGCTGACAATAACATCATTTAATTGAACTGGTACTTCATCTTCAGTGACAGCAGCTAATGAATCGCCATAAAATAATGAACCAAATGTTAATGAGGTATCTCTCTTTAACAAAGAACCTTCTTGTTCACCTTTCAAAGTAATCAAGTTCGTGATTGAGGTGCCGGTAATTTGTTGAGAATAGAACTTAATACGTAAGTAATAACCTTCAGTAACAGAATTTGTAAGAACTAAACTTATTTCAGATGAGGTAGATAAATCGGTAAACAAATATGGGATACTTTTCAATGGTTGATTAAACGAGTCAACTTCGGTGACTATTTCAACCACTGTTTTACCTTCATCATATAAGTAAGCATCTTCATCGGTTGGGACAGATTCAAAATATAAACCATTAGATAATTCGGAAGCTGGAATATCTAAGATAAACCAAGCAGTATTATTTTCTTGGTAAATACCACCATATGAATTGATTTCAGAGACATTTTGAGGCATATAATTGATTGTATTAGCGAACGATTCACCTGTAGAATCTTGGAAATCATATTCAATGGACATTGGTTCAGTAATTGCGCCTAAAGCATCGTCAGTAAGTCTAGCTAAGAAGTTGAATGTGGTAGTTAAGTTGGCACGATCTTCGTCGATAAAAGTAACATTAAACAGGTTATCAGAATGAGAGACGGTACCAATGACAGAGGACTTGTAGGTTAGATCAAATGAACCTTCTGGGAAAGAAGTAAATTCTTTTGGAACTTGGAAATATATATTATCTTTTTTACCTTTAGCAGCAAATAATTCAGCTTCAATTAGAAACCAACCATCTGGGTAAGTACAGTTAGATGATAATGTATCAGGTACAACTACCTGGATATTTGAAAAAAAGGCATCTGCCGCGGAAACTGCAGATGCAAGTGTAATGAAATTCAGTAGACAACTCTGAATCGATACCATTGTATGTATTTTAATTTAATTAATAAACCTTATTATTTTTGTCTATACTTTTATTGGTAGAATTAATTTGTTCTTATTTAGTTATCTTTTTGATAACAAGAAGTAAGTTAATCTAATTAGAAGAATTTTTTGGGAAATACATTTTTGGAATATCTCAATAGTTAACATCCATTTATACTTTTCAAAAGTTGTCATGTCATTGAATTGATAATTGTCCAAATGCTGAACTAAGTAAGTACAGCATTTTAAATTTGATCCAAATTTAGCAGTACCTTTTTTTGCTGTGTTACCCAATATAATCTAACTTGGACTAAGGGATCAAAAACTAATGAAAAATTCAGCATTCTATTCTATCTTGACCCCAGCAAATTTTCGAGACCCTCTAATCCCACCTATTCAAAACCTTTTGATTTGGATGAGCTTGTCCTAAAGTCAAGCAATATGTATCTATCACTATAAAGTTCACTGCTTTGGCTACCATAGGAGATCAAAATCGATATCTGTTTAACCAGCTGAATTTTTAAAGATTTATCCTAATTGGGAATGCTGAACTTTTAAAATACCTAAATAGGAAATATGTAGCCCACGGATACTTGATTCGGTGGATCATATCCTAATATGGAAATTTTTTCTTTTCGAAATCGCTTGGATAATTACCCAATTCGGTCATTGGGAGTTAGTTGATGAAGTAAGATTCGAAATTTGACATGGCTGAAAAATGGACAATAGAGACATAAAAGATGGAAATGACAGTACTTTTTGAATAAGGACAGTTTACCATTGTCCAAAAAAAAATGCTGGACTTGTCGACACAACTGATTTCTGTAATAATTGACCATTTACCTGAAGTAGGTTGTCGTTGAATGTCTTCTATTCCATAATAAATGTACCAATTTAAATTTTGTCATCTCTAATGTAGAGAGGATCGCTTGGAATCACGATGTTGGAAGAGCAATGAATTCAGCTCTTGATACTTTCGATCCAAACTTGCAGTTACCTTTGGGTGTAAATATCCTGATTCGATATCCGGATATTTGATTTTTGGTTTAATTGACGGATTGGATCAAATTCATATTTACAAAGCAGTCTTATTGGGACAGATCATGTCATTTACGTTTTGGGACATTGCTGAACTCTCACATGTAAAGGTGTGGTTCTTATTTTCTTACCTTTTCTAGAATTCATAAATAATTACCATAAATGATAATTCATTTTAGGATCAGCGTTAGAAAAAGTCCTCCTACTTTGGCGATATCACCTAATCCATCCAGTTAAACTTGTTTGATCTTTTGGACATTGACAAATATTTACATTTGAAAGGCCATTTTAAACCCCTCAGGTATCCTCCTCAATCGGGGGTAATTATTATTGGCTACAATATACCTGTTATTTGATATTTCAACGAAACAGCCGCTTTCCTTATCTATACCATGGTGAATCAAAGCTTTTAAGAACTGTTAACCTTTAAACATTTCTAACTTTAAACCCTTGAATCATATTTGTTGATATCTACACCTGTACATCGCACTATTTGAAGTCACTCTCACATTGATAAAACCTTAAAAATATCAAAATTTAATCAGAATTAATTAAAATGACTATCAAAAAATATTAATCTTTGCTGTAAATTACCTTGCAAAAGTAGTGATTATAGCCAATAAGGAGGGTACACAGCATATATGATGTCCTTCTTGGAAGTTGGAAGTAATAAGAAATGGATAAATATTTTATTCAATGATTTTGGGATACCACATCGTTTTGAAATTTCAGAAGATTTGAAGACTGAATGGGATATTAAAAACAATCGCTATTTTGGAGAAGTACAGATCCCAAGTTATGATAAATACCCATTAAAGCCTGTTGTTTGTTGTTTCACTGTTAATGAGTCCTTGCCTTCTGGTTCAATTAGTGTTCCAGCTGCGAAATTTGGAGTTAATCCTTTGCATCCTACTATAAATCAATGTACATTAAAGATATTAAAGGATCAACCAGTTGTACTAGAAACTGTTACGTTCCTTGCAAACCCAAAATTATATAAAAGACTAGAGTGCTTTCAAAAGGATACTGAAAAGTTTAATTTCTTTTGTTCAAAATTTGGGATTATTGATAAGCAAAGTGTGATACATCTAGATGATGATATTAGTAAACCCTGGTGTAAAGTTGTCGATTGTACTCCTTCCAATACAGGTATAGTTGATTTTAACAAGACACAGATATATTTCTTGGAAGATACGCATTCGCTATTGGAATCTAAGGCCAATCTGTTCGACAGTATTTCCCCCACTGTTCCATCTAAAAAATCTTCGAATACTAGGATACAACTGTCATGTTTAAAACATCCTGTGTTGAGAGAACTGTATAAGAATGAATTGCCTCTAACAAATGATGATACTATATTCGCATTTGCATCGTTTGAAGTATTCCAAAGTGTTGGTGTCATTGATGGAAACTATATTACAATTTCAAATGATACTACTTCAATGACTCTTCAACTATTTTTGTTATTACAGCCTAATGGCTATAGTAATACAAAATTATTCGTGCATCCAAGAGTTATGGCAAATTTTTGGAAATCTGGAGATGTAATAGTTGAAAAATGTGAGAGCGAGTTTACAAATTTTGCTGTTGCTTCATCAGTATCACTAGCAAGAGTTGGTAATTTTTATCATTCCCAAAAGAAATATGAGAACTTGATTCTTCATAATTTAAAGAAGTTTTTAACAGAGAAAGAAAGAGTATTACGTTGTAAACAATTGATCCCTATCGGATTTGATTCTACATTTAGTAGCCTATACTCAGATGACATTGAAAATGTTGATGATAATCTGTTGAATGACTCTGTTGTTTGGTTTTCTATCGAAAAGGCTGAAATAGAAAATGAGGATTATGATAATGGAACATTGAAGGATTTTATTATTAATCCTTCTAGAACAAAGTTGGTTACCGAAAATATCATATCAAAACACCCACTTCAAATGAACAATCCAACATTTCATAAGTATTACGATTTAGTGTTACCACCAAAATATGATACAAACAAATTTGACTATGCCAAACGTTTCTTTAATATCTTAGAAGCGTCTCTAAATTGTTTTGAAAAATCGATACCTATCTCAACTTCGATTATTTTGCAATCAGGTACACCAAACACTGGTAAATCTACGTTAGTTAAGTCTGGATCTTTGTATCTGGGTTTTCATTTGTTAGAGATTGACTGTGCTTCGCTTCCTGTAACCAATGTTGGTTCTTTAGACTCTGTAAGTAAAACTGTGGGTTATATTAAAGCGAAGGTCGAAAGTGTGTTGCCATATACAACACCTTCCATTATATATCTTTCTCATATTGATATCTTGTTAAGGAAAGATGATTCTAACCAAGACCCTCAAGTTTCAAATATATCAAAACTCATGGATATTGAAGTAACAAAATTTATAAATGAAATACTTTCAAAGTTTAAAGGAACGATTTTTGTTTGTTCAACTAATAATTTTGATTCTTTACCAACGACCTTTACTTCAAATCTTAAATTCGATATTAATGTGTCAGTCCCGGATGAAAACCAGCGTAAAGAAATATTCAAATGGTACCTAGCTACTGATGTCCTCAATAGAGGTATCCAAGGTGGTTATGTTTTTAACAGCTCAAATGATTTGTTATTATCAAAGTTGGCCCTTCAATCAGCTGGTTTGACACCTTGGGATATCAAGTTCACCATTGATAAAGCAAAATCAAAATCATTGCAAAATTGTATAAAACATAATAATTCCAACAATGACATTAATAATATTTGTAAAATATCTATGGTTGATATTAAAGAATCTATTGGTGATGTAAGAGATGAATATTCAACGTCCATTGGTGCACCAAAGATTCCAAATGTGACATGGGACGACATTGGTGGTATTGATATAGTTAAAGGTGAAATTATGGATACTATTGATATGCCTCTAAAACATCCTGAATTATTTGCATCTGGTATGAAAAAGAGGAGCGGTGTTTTATTTTACGGGCCTCCTGGGACTGGTAAAACACTAATGGCAAAAGCCATAGCAACGAATTTCTCTTTGAATTTCTTTAGTGTCAAAGGTCCAGAATTATTGAACATGTATATCGGTGAATCAGAAGCCAATGTGCGTAGAGTGTTCCAAAAGGCTCGTGATGCCAAGCCATGTGTCATATTTTTTGATGAATTAGATTCAGTTGCACCAAAAAGAGGTAACCAGGGTGATTCTGGTGGTGTCATGGATCGAATTGTATCTCAGTTACTAGCTGAATTAGATGGTATGAGTACTGGCGGAGATGGTGTTTTTGTCATTGGTGCCACGAACAGACCTGATTTGTTAGATGAAGCTTTGTTACGTCCAGGTAGATTTGATAAGCTTTTGTTCCTTGGTATCCCTGACAATAACGATAAACAATTAAACATTTTACAGGCATTAACTAGAAAATTTGAATTAGGTGAAAATGTTAATTTGAGTGAAGTTGCAGAGCAATGTCCATTCAACTATTCTGGTGCCGATTTCTATGCACTGTGTTCAGATGCTATGTTAAATGCGATGACAAGAATAGCCAAAGAAGTTGACGAAAAGATAAAGAAATATAATGAAACTAACGGTACCAATCTCTCAGTTAGATACTGGAGTGACCACATTGCCACAGATGAAGATGTCAAAGTTGTTGTCAACATGTCTGATTTCTTAACTGCGCAAAAGGAATTAATTCCAAGCATTTCTCATGATGAACTTCAACATTACCTGAGAGTGAAAAGCAACTTTGAAAGCACCGACAATGGTGATAATCCTGTAAGTAGTTAATAAGTTGACCTTTCTCTATGTTTTTTAAAATTTCATATTTTCTATATCTAGTGTAAGATTAATTCATATTCAATTATCAGAAACGATAAAGAAAGAGCGTCACGGAAGAATATAAAACTTTTCCTCTTTAACATAGTTTGATAACGTAAAAACTTGGATAACAATTAAGGGATAACATAAACGTATGATTCTAATTAGTAGACTGATTTTTCCCATCATTAATATTCTGATACTATTAATACTATATAATAATATTATAACTATATTCGTAATTTTACAGAGTTAAGAGATACTTTAATTACCCGGATTTCAAGATTTTTCAAGTTTACTGATATTTTAAACAACGAAAGAGAATGGATAATATTTAAAGAGGTTTAACCACTACTAAAGAAATTTTAATCGTACTAATAAAGATTGAATTGGTAGTAGGAGGCCAGGTATCTTAAGGATCAATTGATAAGAAATGGAGGCAGTTAGCTCTTCTAATGGGTATCCATCCATGCAATGGGATTCTGCTTTAGATATTCCTTTGAAGGCATCTGAAGAAGTTGTTAGTATTGACTTAGAGACAGACTTACCAGAAGATCCAGCAGATTTAAGAACTTTATTGGTTGAAGAAAGTTCTGACAAAGAACACTGGCTTACTATTGCTGTTGCCTATTGTAATCAAGGAAAAATTGATGAAGGTATCAAATTGATTGAGATGGCATTGGAAACTTTTCAAAACGTTGAGAAGGCACCACTGCATACATTTTTAACTTGGGCTCATTTGAAGAAGGCTAAAGAAACCTCTGTCAATAAGGAAGAGAAAAATCAGGAATTGAATCAAGCGGAGATGCACTTGAAGGATGCTATCGGTTTTGATCCTACATGGGTTGGTAATATGTTAGCTACTATTGATTTGTATTATGAAAGAAACCAATATGATAAAGCTTTGGAAACCACGGATATTTTCATGAAAGGTATTGCTACAGAAGATCATAGACATGGTAGAACTACAAAACCTAATTGTTTCTTTATTTTGATTAGAGCTAAGCTATTGTACCAAAAAAATAATTATCTAGCAAGTTTAAGATTATTCCAAGAATTATTGGTTTTGAATCCTGTCTTGCAACCAGATCCTCGTATTGGTATTGGTTTGTGTTTTTGGCAATTGAAAGATTATAAAATGGCCATCAAATCTTGGAAAAGAGCTCTAGAATTGAATCCTAAGGACAAAAGTGCAGAAATTTTGGTCTTACTTGGTGATTTCCACAAGTCGTTAACTGAATCTTCAAACGATAATCAATTTTCTGATTACTACACTGAAGCATTGAAAAATCTAAACAATTTATATTCTAATAATAAAGAAAACCCGGTTTTGTTAACTCTGCTTCAAAGTTACTTCTATTTTAAAGGTGACTACAAGGCCGTTTTAGACATCCATGAAAATAAAATATCAAAAGTTGCTAGTATAACGACAAACTCTGTGTTATCTGATAGTGCATTTTGGTGTGCTAGAGCACACTACTCTTTACATGATTATCGTAAGGCATTTACTATGTTTCAAGAAAGTTTAAGAAAAAATGAGGATAATCTTTTGGCTAAATTTGGTCTAGGTCAAACTCAATTCAAAACAAATCTACTTGAAGAAAGTATTTTGACATTCGAAAATCTATATAAGTCTTTCGAAGGTATACAGGAATTGAATTATATTTTGGGTTTATTATATTCTGGTAAGGTTTTAAATTTATCGAATATTTTACCACATTCTGAGAGTCAAAAACTGATTGCAAAATCAATCCAATATTTGGAAAAATATGTCAAATTAACCACTACCAAAAAGAATCAATTAGTAATCCCAAAAGCTTATCTAATTCTTTCAGAGTTATATGAAATCCAGAATAACTATAAGCAATCGCTGGAATACTTGACAAAGGCCATGGAAGATGCTAAAGCAATTAACAAGGATGAAATACCATTTGAAATTTTAAACAACATAGGTTGCTTCTATTTTATAACTGGTGATAGTAATAAAGCTATAGAATATTTTGAATTTGCAAAAGAAAGATTAAAGGTTTATGATATTGACACTAAGCCTTCGGAAGTAACACTTTCGTATAATATTGCAAGAACCACAGAAACTACAGATATTTCAAAGGCTAATTCTATGTATGAGGATATTTTAGGTCGTCATCCTGATTACATCCATCTAAAAGTAAGATCTTTAATTGCTAAGTTTATGATTAACGGTGGTAAAGATGGTGTTTCTATAGAGGGTGAAGTGGAGAATTTAATGAAAGATAATTCTTCAGATTTGGAAGTTCGTTCTTTTTACAGTTGGTTTTTGAAAAATGACATGAAGGACACTGCAAACTTTGACGAAAAGAAGTATGTGAAGAATCAAGAAATTGAAACTAATAATAATAAGGAAACCTTGGTTAAATTTAATTCACATGATGTATTTGCTTTAAACTCAATGGGTAACTTCTATAATTATCTTGCCAAGGAAAATAAGAGAAATCCAGAAAAGGCTAAACAATATTACTTGAAAAGTATTCAATTGTTCCAAAAGGCCTTACAAGTGGATCCATTGAATGTATTTGCAGCTCAAGGTTTGGCAATAATATTTGCTGAGTGTAAGAGATTAGGTCCTTCTTTGGAGATTTTAAGGAAAATTAGAGACTCCTTGGATACTGAAGATGTTCATCTAAATTTGGCAAATTGTTTATTGGAAATGCATGAATATGCGAAAGCTATTGAAGAATATGAATTCATTCTAAAAAGATTTTTGGATTCAAAAAATAGTGCAAAAATTTACAACTTATTGGGTAGAACCTGGTATGCTAGAGGTAATAAAGAAAAATCTCACGACTGTTACAAAAAATCATTGAAAAATGCTGAAACAGCATTAAAAATGGAAACAGAAAAAGAGAATGGTACTGCTAGAGGCTCGAAAATTATGAGTTTTAAATATAATGTTGCTTTATTACATTTTCAAATTGCAGAAACATTGAGAAGAGCTGATGTTAGGGACCGTACAGTAGAAGATGTGACCAATGCATTAGAAGGTTTACAAGTAGCTTTAATTATGTTGAAGGATATCAAAGATCAGGAATTCAAATTAATTGCTAAAGATGAGCTTGAACAACGTATTCAATTAGGTGAGACCACCATGAAGAGTGCCTTAGAACGTTGTAAAATTGAACAAGAGCAATATGAACAAGAACAATCCAATAAATTGGATGAAGCACGTAAGATCTTGGAAGAAAATGAGCAAAAAAAATTGGAAAGAATTGAGAAGGAAAAGGAAATTGAACGTGCTAGATTGGAAAAGAAGAGAGAAGAGTTCTTGAAACTTCAAGAAGAGGCACAAAAGATAATAGAGGAACGTGAATCAGCTATTGTCAATGAGCCAAGTAGTGATGAAGACAGGGATCAAGAAGATTATGAAAATGTCGAAGAGAAGTCTGCTAAAAAGGCTAAAAGAAAGAGATCAAGTACATCAGAAGGAAAGACCAAGAAGAGAAAAGCCAACAAGCCCAAGGAAGGAGAAGATGATGAAGACGAAGTCATTTCAAAAACCAATGGTAGAAGAGGTAAGAAATCAGTATTATCAGAAGAATTCATTGCTACAAGTGATGAAGAAGATGATGTTGTTTCAGACCAAGGAAATGAAGAAGAAGAAAAAGAAGCGCATAATACTGGTTCCTCGGATAATGATGATGATTTGTTCTAAACGCCATTGGTAATAACAGTAACTGTTAATATTAGATAACATTAACTTCTGTAAGAACTGTAAATTTGTAATATATAGAAATAAACTTAATATAAAACGTTTTAGACTGGTGATAATTAATTTGTAATTTTTGTAAATTTATTCATTATTACACTATTTATATATATATATATATGTATATGTATTAATCATGTATTATTTTAGGAGATAATTAATTTTGCACAATTCGTATATGAATTGATGCATTATTTATAACTAAGTAAAGGAATCCTTAGCATCATTTTCTAGTAAATACTTTATCAGTTCATAAATATTTTCTCTATCGGCAACCGTATGAATCCATATCCCAAAAACCTCATGTTTTAAGTTCTTTATTATCACTAAATCATCTTTAACTTCAACACCCATAGTCTCCAGTGGATTCTCTTGACTTTCACTCGCATTAAACACACTTCTCTTATTTATTACACTATTGGGAACTATACCCATTGAAAAATTATCTGGATTAATTCTATTAAGTATAATTAAACCATAGTTATATATATCACGACCAGTCAACATAGTCCCAGAAGAGGATTGGTTATCAGTGTTCAAGGAAGCTATAGACTCTTCCTTTGGTGGTAACATATCTCCATTGGAAATGTCACGTAAATAAATTGCTAATACACCTTGGTATTCTAACTTATTCCATTCATCTTTCTCAAAATCCCATTGGTAAACTGAAGCATGTGGAGTATGGAAAAGCAATTGTTTTATCTTAGGATCATACCTACTAATCACATTAAAGTTTAAAGCCTTTCTATAAAATTCCATAGTCATTGCAGAATTAGATTCTGAATCAGGTTTAACTTCACTTAGGGTCGACATCTATCTATCTATCTATCTATCTATTTCAATTATTTTGGTTCTATTGTTTGAGACAAGTATAGAAAAAGCTGTTTTCCCACCTACTCTTGAAAAGCAAACTATCTATCAGTTATGGAATTTGTCAACACAATCAGAATCCACCAATTCATCGAAATCAATAACCATAATTAACTTCAATTTACCTTAATCAATTAATTATTTTTTTTTTCATCTTCATGACATACTTTATCGAAATTTTGACGTATAAATTTCATAAAAGTTGCAAATTTCATCTCGGATAAATTAATTTACATAGTTAAGAATTGTTTATAGTGAGAGCAAAGAGAGAGAATGTTAGACCAATTTCGAGTTGATGCTACGAAACTGAAGGTCTTTCTTGGAGCTAACAGTTTCTATAGGTATCAGTACAATACCATCGAGGATGGACATATAAATCTTTATTCAGAAACTACTTTTACAATACTAAAAATTAGACTGAAATAAAAAGAAAACCTTACGATAAGTTAAAATCAAGTTTTTCCATATTTAACCGAAGCTGTAAGAATACAGGTTTTAATGGAAAAATCAGTTAGAAATCGTATTGGCAATTCGATTCATGTCAATTCCTCGAGCCACTACGTATAATATAATCTGATGATTATGATGAACTGCTTAAAATCGTTGTATTTCACCTCTTGGATCCGTATATCACCTATCGGAGGACTATTTTCCGACACCCTCGACCACAATAGTGGATGGAATCTCTCCATTTCTTAATAATGTGTAATTTAATATACGTACATGCACCTAAATCTTGATGACATCTGTTCCCCCATACACAATGGAACAAATACGTTATGGTAGGAGGGGGACGTGGGACAGATTAGTTCTAATCTTAGATTTAATGATATCATCTGACAAAAACAATCCCGGTCTATCTCCAGTTATTGTTGTCTTCGTATTATCCGTTTCGAGTGGGATTTATTTCCGCCGCTAAACTCCAGAATAGCCCCGGTGGAAACTTGGTTCGAAAAGTGTTTAATATCACATACCTCCTTCTGACAACGACGATGGTTCGAGTTTAGATCAGTAATTGAATTAATAAAATTATATATAAGTGAAGTACTTTCTTATCTTTCATGACAGGTTTGATTACCGATTTTAAAGCTTTTGCAGAGTCTTGGTGTTGATGTGAAAAGACCAAACAAGAAGTTTTATTGAAAGAGTGATATTCTAAAGTCTATCCACCCTTTTCTATAGTTTCTAAAGTTTTAAATTGTTATAATCATAATGTCTCAAGTTGTTAAAGTTGGTGTCGTTGGTACTGGTATCTTTGCCAAGGACAGACATTTACCTTCTTACCAAGAAATGTCCAATGAATTCAAAGTTGTTGCTGCTTACAACAGAACTAAGAGCAAGGCTGAAGAATTTGCTAAATTAGCTAATTTGCCAGATAACAAAGTCTACGACAACTTGGATGAAATCATGAATGATCCAGATGTCGATTATGTTGATGCTTTGTTGCCAGTTCAATTCAATGTTGACACCGTTAAGAAGGCTATCGCTGCTGGTAAACCAATTATTTTGGAAAAACCAATTGCTGCTAACATGAAGCAAGCTAGAGAATTAGTTGAATTATCTGATTCTACCGAATTGCCAATTGGTATCGCAGAAAACTGGTTATACTTATCTTGTATCGAATTGGCCAAGAAACACTTGCCTCGTATTGGTGATGTTGTTGGTTTCACCCATAACTCCACTGGTCCATTTGTTACAAACAATAAGTATTTGGCTACTACTTGGAGACAATCTCCTGAACACATTGGTGGTTTCTTATCAGATGGTGGTGTTCACCAATTGGCTTTAGTCACTAGCTTGGTTGGTGAATTTGAATCTGTTTCTGCTTTAACTCAACAAGTTCGTGAACAATCTGGTACTGATGATATCGTATTCTCTACCGTTAAGATTAGAAATAGTAAAACTATTGGTACCTTCACTTATGGTTCTGCCTTCGGTGCTACTGACAAATCTGTATTCTTGAAAATGTACGGTACTAAGGGTTCTGTTGTTGTTGAATTATCAGACAAGGCTAACCCTGTAGTTAAAGTCAGAGTTGGTGAAACTGCTGAAACAGCTGGTGCTGAAGAAGTTTACCCAGTCTCTCAAGAAGATTCATTTGGTGTCAATGATGAATTCTTGAACTTCCGTGAAGCTGTTTTGAAGAAAGACAAGAAGCTATTCAAGAGTTCCCCAAGAGTTGCCTTCCATCACTTGGCTTGTGTTGCTGCTTTCTTGGAATCCTCAGCCCAAAATGGTAACAATGTTACTGTTGAAACTATTTAATGATTAAAGTATATAGATTTACGATTTGTTTTATACATATTTTGTGTAATTAACGATTTTATAAGAATTTTTGAAACTATTTTAAATTTTAAAATTAACCACTTGTTAGCCTATAATAACTTTGAGATACTAAAACTTTTGGAATTTTGGCAATTAGTGAAAATTAAAGTTCAAGTAACAATCATAAAAAAGAGAATATTTAAAGTAATGGATTATGATTTAAATTCAAAAGATTAATATATTTATAAAACTAAGATACAAAGATAAGATATATACACATACTAGAAATTACATGTATTATTATTTAAAAACCTTAGCGAGAAGACATAGCCTTGGTAACAACTCTCTTCAAACCGACTTCAGCCTTTCTCAAGTCTTCAGCGGAAGAGTCTTCGATTTCTAAAGCAGCCATAGCTTCTGATAGAGCAGCTTCAATCTTGGACTTAGAACCTCTCTTCATCTTAGAGGACAAGACTGGGTCAGTGACAGTTTGTTCGATAGAAGCAACGTAAGATTCCAATCTTTGTCTAGCTTCGTGTCTCTTGGCGAAAGCTTCGTCAGCAGCCTTGAATTCTTCAGCTTGGTTGACCATCTTTTCGATATCGTCAGAGGACAATCTACCGACAGCGTTGGAGATAGTAATGTTAGCGGACTTACCAGTAGACTTTTCGACGGCAGTAACCTTCAAGATACCGTTAGCATCAACTTCGAAGATAGCTTCCAAGACTGGTTCACCAGCTGGCATTGGTGGGATGTTCTTCAAGTCGAATTCACCCAACAAAGTGTTTTCTTTACAGTTGACACGTTCACCTTGGTAGACTGGGAATTGAACGGTAGTTTGGTTGTCACCAACAGTGGTGAAAGTTCTTCTCTTGATGGTTGGGACGGTAGTGTTTCTTGGAACGACGATACCGAAGATGTCACCTTGCATACCAACACCTAAGGATAATGGAGCAACATCCAACAACAACAAGTCCTTGGTTTCATCGGAAGTAGATTGACCGGTCAAGATAGCACCTTGAACAGCAGCACCGTAAGCAACAGCTTCATCTGGATTAATGGATTTTTCCAATTGCTTACCGTCGAAGAAGTCAGACAATAATTTTTGGACCTTTGGAATTCTGGTAGAACCACCGACCAAGACAACTTCATCGATTTGAGACTTGGCGATCTTAGCATCCTTCAAGACTTGTTCAACTGGGGTCAAAGTAGATTTGAACAAAGCAGCGTTTAAGTCTTCGAATCTGGCTCTGGTGATAGAAGCTTCGAAATCTTCACCTTCGAACAAGGAGTCGACTTCAACGGTGGTTTGAGTGACAGAAGACAAAGTTCTCTTAGCTCTTTCAGCAGCAGTTCTCAATCTTCTCAAAGCTCTGGCGTCACCGGAGATATCCAAACCAGTCTTCTTCTTGAATTCAGCCTTGAAGTGTTCCAACATGTTAGTGTCGAAATCTTGACCACCCAAGTGAGTGTTACCGGAGGTAGATTTGACGGTGAAGACACCACCAGCGATGTGCAACAAGGAGACATCGAAAGTACCACCACCTAAATCGAAGATCAAGACGTGTCTTTCTTTTTCAGACTTACCAGCACCTAAACCGTAAGCAATGGCAGCGGCAGTTGGTTCGTTAATGATACGCAAAACGTTCAAACCAGAGATGGCACCAGCATCCTTGGTAGCTTGTCTTTGAGCATCGTTGAAATAAGCTGGGACAGTGATGACAGCCTTTTCGACCTTCTTACCGATCTTAGCTTCAGCAATTTCCTTCATCTTGGTCAAGACCATGGAGGAAATTTCTTGTGGGGAGAAAGTTTTAGTTTCACCCAAGTATTCAACTTCGATCATTGGAGCACCTTGAGCGTCAATGACCTTAAATGGCCAAGTCTTCATATCTTCTTGGACAGCTTCTTCGTCGAATCTTCTACCGATCAAACGCTTAGCATCGAAGACAGTGTTCTTTGGGTTCAAAGCAGCTTGGTTCTTAGCAGCATCACCAATCAATCTTTCTTCTGGAGTGAAAGCAACGAAAGATGGAGTAACTCTGTTACCTTGTTCGTTAGCAATAATTTCAACAGAAGATTCATAAGTAGCAACACAGGAGTAAGTAGTACCTAAATCGATACCAATAGCACCTTGGAAAACACCTTCAGCCATTTTTAATTGTTGATAGTTTTTATTGGTCTCTTTAAAAGAAAAAATTAAAACACAATAACAATCCTCAAAATTTAATTCAAAAAATCTTTTAAGTGTTTTAAAAGTTCTTATAACTCACAATTGTGAAGATTGAAAAAACTTTTCATAAATAATTTTAAACTTTCAATGACCTCGAGATGAGTGAAAAGTTTGAATGAAAAATTTTCAGCATTTCTCTCGAAATGAAATTTGCATCTCATCCATCCATCATCATCCATAATCCATCCATTAGCTTGTTTGACTGTGCAACATTAACCTGTCAATGTGATTGTTCAAGGTGAAAAAAAAAATTGGAAAAAGAAACGAGATATCCTAGACTCAGCAAACAGTAACATAAAATTTTTTTTTTTCCATCCTTCTGAACTGAGTAATAACTCTCAGTAAATTGATTTAATAGAAGCTCACCAGCTCAGTGGGGGTGCTCTCCTAGAGTAAATTCATTCCATCTCTAATATCTTTTCCAACTTTCTTTGGGAGCAAACCTTTTAATTTCTTTTTGGCAGCGATGGTTCAGATGCTTAAATTGTAGACAGTGAGTGGAAACTATTGATCATGCTTTTGCAGATGAGACATATGGGAAGCGTACCAATCGATGATCATTTATGTAGTGAACGTTATCTGCCTGATTCGCAGTTAATTTCTCAATTGTAGAAACTTGGTTTCTGTATCTTGGATGGAGTGCTTCAATTTAAAAGCGTTTAGCAAAATTTAATGTGACAACCTTACACACATATATATATATGAGCGATGAGATGAGATGAGCTTTTTAGTCTTATGTAAAGTGCTATCCTTAGTACAATCACACAACCAGGTGTTCATCTGTTCACAGCACTTCATGCCCTATTTATAGTAGGATGTTGGGTGAAAGTAGATGAAGTCTTAAATGGGAGTCTATCGTAGCAATGGCCAATTCCACTGAATACTGGTCACCTGTGATAGAGATGGTTTGCTTCACTCTTGATGGATGGGATATTTCATCTTTTGTAAGTTTTTTGCTGATAGGTAGAATCTTGATTGTAGTCTGTGTGCTTTCACGTATTTCTTCAATACGTGAACCCTTATGTCCAATCAAAAATGCAACTTGAGATTTTGTAAGAACCATGAAGTGAGTATATATATTCAGGCGGTAATCACAACTGGGCCTCTCTAACTCTGGCTTAACCATCATATCAAGTGTAGACAGCAAAACCTCAGATGGATTTGAAGTATACATTTTGCCTTCAACAATTTCATTCTCCTGGACAGTATTGAATTTGAATTTGAATTTGTTCTTATTGCAATCAATGAAGTTCACAACAGATTCCAAGGGGCTGGTCTTGTAAAAGATCACCGTCCTGCTATTACTTAACAAGTAACAAGGTATATATTCATCTTTGACACCCAATTGTATCATTGATGGACATTTTATACCAAACCAATTGTGGACTTCACATATTCTCCTTATCAAATCCTTATTATAAGCAAATGTCACTCTCAGCATACCCATCTCTCCGTAATAAACCTTCACAATCCCATCGAGTAGACCAGTATCATCATCTAGAGAGTCTTGAAACCTCCAATAGTCGAGTTCAAGCTCTATTAAGCCAGATTCATGATTTTTTTGATTAACATTAAGGGATTGACCTACGTTCATCTGATTAACCTTCTCGACCAACCAATCTGTCCTAGCCATTACAAAACAAGCACCTTCTATTAATCAGAACAATATTTAGTATACCAGAAATTCCCCAATCTGACCATGTATCCCTCTTTATATCTATTACATTGTCAAATTTATTCATCTAATTAATATTATGTATTTGCAATTCTTTTATTATGCATTTTGTTCGGCGGCTAAAATTTTGGGATAAAAGTATATAAAGGCGAGAGATTTTAAAAGCTGTTTTTAATACTGGCTATCACTCTTAGGTTTGGAATTTTTGAGATTATAGACAAAAGAGAAACAGGATATCTGGGTTCTGAAATGGGTTATGTCGTTTAGGGGGGTATGCCAAGGTTTGGTTCGACAAGAATTCATTAAAATTGGTTAAATGTAAGCTATTCCATACATTATTTTACAATGGCTTACTTACTATACTATGTGGATAAGAAAATCATACTAGGTATTTGTTTCTTTCATTTATAGTTGAATTCTGGACATGTATAGTCAAGCATATTTTTTTCCCTATTAATAGGTGCAAGTTTTTGACAACTGATGGAATGCTGTTTTAGATTTACAAAGTAATTTACTGGATGAGGCATAACTTTTTATTTCTTCAGCTTGAAACTAAATATAGAATTAAATTTTGGAATATATTACAATCAAGGGAAGGAATCTGTAAGGAGACGAGAAGTATTTAGACATTCTATTTTAACTCCACATTTCGTTAAACTCACAAAAATTATTTTCGAATATGCCAAGAAAAAGGGTTCTGATAATATCCCACACCCCTCTCTTTCAGCAGATCATTGTTATGTATTCATAACAATGATCTGTTAAATACACGTCTTTTTTGTCTTGTAGAGGAGGATACCTTTGTCGTGATTTGACTACCCTTTATTTGAATCTGCTGATCGATGCTTCACGATATTTCGTAACTATCTTTTCTCCAGGCCGAGGCTGCTGAAATGATGAGTTACGTATAACAAACAACAAATATACAAGATTAAAGAAAACTTAGATCATGGTACAAGCCTTGGTTCATCATTTGATGAATAAGACTCAAGGCAAGCAAAAATATTTTGCTTTATGGATTTATTTTGAACCTAAATGTTTTGATATAAATCGAAGGCATCCAAGCTCATTGAATTATATTATTAATTTCGATTAGATAGAATCTGGAGAGAAATCAGATAAGAAAATTTATACATATATATTAAGTGATTGCTAGCATTAAAGTTTAACAAGTGCTGATTCGTACATGTCTAACAATGGTAAACCTAAATGAAAACAAAGTTGATCATATAACTGATATCTTAAGAGGCTCCTATTCTCATACATCATTTTTATCATTAAGGGACTCAACAAGACGTCGTGGATATGGTTCTGGTAAGAGACCTGGTTTGAGTTCAAATTCAAGTAATGGCTCATACACTTTTCTGAAATTACAGAATTTATCAGAGGATAAAAAATGGGAAACTCTGGAGGATTTTAATTTAGAGGAGTTGAGAGACGAATTTTTTGATCCAATTTATACAAAACCAGAAAGTTCTAACGAATTTACTGATGATAGTGAAATTGAATCACTAATCTCAGGAAAAAAGAAATCAATAAATAACAATGGTTATAATATTTTACTTTTTTCTGAGCTGTATCAATCTTTTTTTCTTTCTCCAAAACAAATATGGGAAGATTTCTATTCATATAAGGTCTCAATTTTTAAATTCTTCATTGCATATTTTATAGCAATGGTTATCTGTGTTGTTCACCGTTCAGGTAATTGGATAGGCCACCAGTACCGGTATTTTTTACCATTAGCAGTAATAATTCACCATCCAGTTCGTACTATTGGGGTTCAACTAGAGATGACACTTTTTTCCATTTTAGGTGGGGCTCTTGGTATGGGTTGGTCAGCATTGGCCTGGTATATATCCACCGCTACTAAACCAGTATCTAATCATCAAGGTGGTATATTATTTGGCAGTTTAGTCATAGCGTTAATGTTTTCTACTTGGTCTAAATCTTATTTCCAAAGATTATTATATTTTGGTAAAACTTTTAGTATTGCAGTTATCTTTTTTCACACTGTCGACACTGTTACCTCTAAACATGATTTGCGTTGGAAATTATATTGGGATTTCGGTATATCTTATTTATTTGGATTATTGTTGTCCCTTTTAATCTGTGTTGTAGTATCCCCTCATAGCGGCAATCAAGAAATTATGGAAAATTTTGTCGAATGCATTGCTGATACAAAATGCTTTTTAACATCCCTAATAAATCTAGAATTTTTTGATGATAATGATAAAAAGCATTCGAAGCAGACACAAATGGTTGCATCATTAAATGTGGGGCTGTCAGAAGGCTACAGAGAATTTTCTAATCAATTTTCTATTAGTAAGTTTGATTCGAAAAATTTATCAGAATTAAGAAATTTGGTAACAAAGGTAATCAGTCCTTTAAGAGTTTTACCTATTGACAATAAGTTATTCGATGGTGAAAATATTGAAAACCTCTATAATAATTTAAAAAGCGCTGACATGAAGAATAGTGCATTAAATAAAAGTCAGATAGCTACTAACCTAGCTTCCCCAACCTTTTCACTATCTGGAGCAGTTACTCCAAGTCAATCAAGAGATTTTATAAGAGAACCATCGATTACTATTAATGAGCAAGTAAACCTACAGATATTAAGAAATCATTTTACAAGTGACGCATTCATGCTTCTAACAGAAATGATTTTAGTATTGGAAGACATTATAGAGACATTAAATATATATCAGAAAAGAAGGCTTTCCTCTAAAGACTTAGATGAAATCCATAATTCATTAGAAACCGCAAAGAAGAAGTTAAAAAGAAAAATCTACAGGTTAGATATTACATACAGAGAATTTACAATGACAAGTTATTTTACTAAGGAGATGCTTATGGAGACACACTCAGTTAGTATCTTTTTATTTTTAAGAGGGATAAGAAATGCATCAAAACATTTATTACAAGTTATAGATTGCTGTAATAAAGTTGGAAATGATATCCGCTGGAGGATAGTTCCAATGCACTATCCTTTATATAGATCTTTGCACAGAGTTCCAAAACAATGTTCTATCGATGAAGGTGCAGGTAACGTGTTGAATTATTTTGAAACAAAAAGAGACGTAGATGAAATTTTTGAGAAATTATACAATACTTATACTTCTAGGCATAAATATAGTAAAAAAATGGGGGATGGTGTTCCTTATAGTGTAAGGGCAATTGATCACGAAGACTTCAATTTACATACTACTACAAATAAATGGAGGTTAACATTATGGCATTTTAGTACTCTTTTGGTTGGCGATGAGATGAAGTGGTCAATTAAAAAAGTTTTTGTGATGGTGTTCTTATGCCTGCCTGCATGGCTACCGGAATCTCATGGATGGTATCAACAGTATCAATGTTGGTGGTGCCCTATGTCATTCTATCTACTTTCTCACAGAAAATATTCAGGTAATTGGCACACATTAATGAGAAGGTTATCGTTTTGCTTAATCGGAATATTCTGGGGTTGGGCGGCAAATCAGGCCAGACACTTCGGTAGTCCATATGTCATATGTACCTTTAGTGGCCTCTTGGTTATTCCAATTGCTTTAAACATATTAGCATATAAGAATACAAGATCTAGCTTTACTACAATGATGTGCTTCTCTGTTATTGTTTTGGAAACATATTCTCAAGGAAGAGATGCTTTAAATACTGCTAGCATTTGGAAACATACATGGGTGACTGGTTTATCTTTTATAATAGCCGTAATAATTTCAATCCCAATTAATTGGACAGTATGGTCATTTAAAGCACGTTCTGAAGTAAGAAAATCTATGTTTTCCTTGTTGGCTCATATTAGTCAATCGTATCAATCTGTTACTGATAGATACTTATATCGTGATGTGAATGATGCCCCTACTGATTTTACTCTTGCATTGTCACACATTCGAGAAGTAAGGTTAGGTCAGCATATTGAAGCTATAAGAGCATTATTAGAGAAATCCAAAGCTGAACCAATTTTTATTTCAAATTTTAACCCTAAAAAGTATTTACAATTGATAAATCTATGTGAATTGTTATCAGAAAGGATATTAGAAGCAAGGATTTCAGGGACATATTTTGAAGTTTGGAAATTTGACACTGATACCGACACAACCAGAGCTTTGTTATCCCTTCGTAGAGATAGTGTCTCTTCAGTAATTTTCGTTTTATACATTCTATCGAATTGCTACAGATCAAAAAACAAAATACCCAGATATTTACCAAGTACAATTATGTCAAGAAAGAAACTATACAAATTTATCTCCAAATTTGACTTGTCTGATGACGGCAAAGAATTCAATAATAAATATGTTTCTTCTGCTAACATTAGTCTAATCAATAGTAAACTGATCCCATCAGAAAAACTAGATACAAACACATATGAAGATTTTGAAAAAACTCATTGGAGCATTATACATAGGATAGCATTTGAAAGGGCTTTCACTGACATATCAGAGTTGCTTCAGCACGTTATTAACCTTTCAAAAGACATATTAGGTGAGGAACCTGTTTAGTTCTTCAATAAATACAATTAAAATACAAATACAAATGCATACATACACATATATAAAATGAAATAGTTATGAATAAACGTACCATTATAGAATAACCAAGTTCCTCCATAGACTTGCTATATACATTTGCCTATACCTCATCTTTTTATAGTTTCTATCAAGATATCCATCCAGTTTGACTTAAACACGATAAATACAACTGGCTCTTGTGATACTTTTAGAACAAGAGCTCAGAAGATGAGGTCCCATTAATCAAGTTGTATTGGTCTATATTTGATGAACAGTAGTTGCTAAGATAGGTACAGGCACATAATTTATTATCATAATAAGAAGTATGAGAGGCAATCCAAGAAGTTTAGAAGAATGGTTGTATTTGAAGTTACTAAATAGTGCACGATTTCAACGTTTTGTGCGAAGAATATATAATAAGGTTAATGGTATAAAAGATACACCTTATGTTCATGAAGAGACTGCATCTGAATTCTTATATAAACCTACAGCTGGTCAGAGGTTCAAGGCATTTCGAGTAATATTTTGGGATGAGATTAAGAAATCATTTGGGTTCCCAGGCAATAAGAATAAGCCATTCAAATGATAAAGAGCAGATAGTGAGTATCAGTGAATAATTAAAAAGGAATTGTTACAAAAGTTAATGTTACATAAGTATAAAAATAGCAGCCCAGAATTGATACTATCCAGTCTGGTGACTTCAAATTATAATTTTTATAAATAAAGAGGAAGATTTCTTAATAATACAAATATTGGAATTTTATCCATTGATAGATAGCAAATAAGCAATTGCAGAATGGCTCAAAAGAAACATTTATCATGATATGATCTGTGAGACTTTGTCAGATTTTAATTAAATGTTAACATAACGCTGAATATCTCCTGAATATATTTTATTAACTTTAATAAGTAATTAATAATGCATGTAAATTTTAAATATAATAAACGTTCGTGAAAAACATTTGTTCCAGATTCTATAAATATAGAAAAGAGGAGAGATGAGTGCAGGAGGTGAATCGATTACTATACGTTACTGTTTATCGAACTCTGATTGGCATCGACGTATATCTCACTTATATTTCCTATCTGTGAATCATCGAACGTCAAATCTTCTTGTTTCTGTCCATCTGGTACTAAATTCAATAAACATTCTTTGTCTTCTAAACCTTTTGTCACATATTTCAGGGAGCTTTCCTCGATTGAATTTATTTCATCTAACGTTATAGTATTTAAATTTCTTCTAAACTTAGTTGCAAAACAACATTTATAAGCCATCTCAACAAATTGCTCAATATCACTTGCCGGCACTTCTGAAGACACCATATATTGAACACCTTCATCAAACTCATCACCAAATGAATTGTTCCATATCAGTTCAACGTCACCATTCTGGCTCCATTTCTTATGGAACCCCAACGTCTCTGATAACTTGAAAGTCCATTGCTTCTCTTTCTTCGATTGTACAGACAAAACACTCATAGCATCATCGACAAACTCTTCCTGATCGTCAATATTCTCATCATCAATATATTCTTCCAACTTATTAACAACTAACTCATAAGAGAACCGTTCAACCTCAACCAATGTCAATATAGCTTCGTTATAAATACATTCAAGTGATGACTTGGGTGAGTCCTTAGACCTCAAAAGATCAAATTGACCCATAGGAATCGTCACAAGTTCCTGTCTTGACTCACCACCAATAAAATATCTCAATATATTCATATCTTAACCCTATATGATCCTCATAAACCTTGGTATTAGACAAATACTAGACCAAATCTTATAAATGATTATCCCATCTGTTAAATACATTCCTGTTATTGACTGATTTAACGCTTTTAAAATTGATATACGCTTTATACATCATTATACACGAACGAATTTTGATCACATGATTAATATTCTGTCACGTCATTGCAACGGTGTGTATACATGAACACCCATCACCAATCATCTGATCCTAATGGAAGGGCGAGAGAGATCTAGCTCCAGATCCAATGGGTTCTAAATCCTCCGTATCTTGCCTTTCAGAACCATTTCTGATAGTTTCAGCCTTGAGATTTAGTTGGGAACCCAACTGGTTTCCTTCCCAGTCAAATGACAAAACGGTTAAGAATAATGTTGCATTTCTATCTATCAGTAAAATATCAATTAAAATTGTATATACTCTTTTATAATTACAAGCTTGAAAAATACAGTGCAATGCCTATCTTTATTTTGTCTATCCATTCCTCTTATATTTTTGCTTTCTTTGTAGATGGTTCATTTGATTTATCTTTGTCTTTTGAACCTGCTTTATCTCTTTCATTTATCGAATATAATGAGTGGTAACTTGTTCTTTTCCTTTTTTGATATGTCGTCGAATCATTCAGATCCATGTTGGATATATCTTCCACTGGTTTATTATTGTCCGTTGGACCACTCTTAGCACTATTACTATTACTACTGCCACCGCTATTATTATTACTATTACTATTATTACTATTATTATTATTATTATTATTATTATTATTATTATTATTATTATTATTATTATTATTATTTTTATTACTAGTAGTATTGTTAGCTTTGGAGTTGTTAATCTTATTATTATTATCATCATCATTATTGTTTTTATTGTTATTATCATTGTTATTACCATTGATGTTATTGTTAATACCGTTGTTATTTTTATCATCATCATCGTCATTATTTTTACCAGCTTTTTCATTTCTTGAAGGATTTAAGCTACCAGTATCTTCATTTTCTTTAACAATTTTTTTTCCACCACCGTGATTCTTATCTAGATCCATTGAATTGTTCAATTTAGAATCATTTTTTTGAAATTCCTTATCTATACTCTGAGCCGGTGATATTGTCACAGTTTGTTTATCCTTGGAATTGCTGTTAACGTATTGTTTCATGGCTTCTAATGGACTGCCTATCTGTTGCATTCTCTTATAGATCATTAAATCTTTCATAGAAGTCATAACATCACCAATTTGTAAACTCCGAAGCAGGCCTTCGGGAACTCCACTATTAGATATACTGTTGAAAACATTGAAAAATGATCTTAATTGCTTAATAGCTTCAATGTTCGGCGGAACTGGTGGTCTTCTAGATTGATCTTTGAAATCGATATTTTTCTCCTCTTTAACAGGAACGCTCAAATTTTTAAATATCTCATAGCATATATTTTTATTACTTATCAATCTTTCCAGCGAGTTCCATTCAACACCAGGAACAAAACTATGGATACAGATGTTAATCCAGTCAATCTTCAAACATGGATCAAATAAACCTTTGAATTGGGAAAAATGAGTAACATAACTTCCATCAATGTAATGACAGGTAAAAGTCAATCTTGGACAATTAAAAAATATATAGCCATTGCTTAGCACCTGTGCACGCAGCTGTGGTGTAACTAATTCTATCCTCACCACCCCTAGGCGACTTAACGTTACAAAGAAGACAGGAATCAAAGAGGTTGACAGTTCAAAATGTGATAATTCGAATTCTGCATTCTTGGAATAGCGAATAGATCCTGTTGGTGTGAACATTTCTTCTGCATTTCTTTTCCAATATGACCAAAGGTCTACATGACCTGCAGATGTGTTTACGATATTGACGAATTCATAAACTCTTAAAATTGCCATGTTGGCTAAGTGTTTTCGTATTGGAAAAGATAACAACGGAGCAGATATAGCACTACCATTTTGATTTAAGGGATTAGGATATCTCTCTTGTTCAACCTTGCCCTGCGGCCTTTGCTGTTGCTGTTGTTGCTTCCCGCTGGCAGTGTCCTTTGAATTAGCTGAATTATTATTTGAATCTGAATTCAACCGGTTGGGTGACATCTTTTGAGTTGCCTTCGAAGCCTCACCGTTGCTCGGCTGTTGCTGTTGCTGTTGCTGTTGCTGTTGCTGTTGCTGTTGCTGTTGCTGTTGCTGGTTATGGTAAACAGTTGGTTCTGCATACATATTAGGGAATCCTTGGTTTATAGGATTCGAAACATTTGAGCCATTGATGGATTTATCAGTCTGAGATTGTGATGACTGCAAATTGCCCACCGGATAAGGAGAAGAAGCATTAGACATTGAGAATTGCTGCTGTTGCTGCTGCTGCTGGGCAGCGGCCCTGGCACCTATCGGTACCTGACCCATCTGTTGACCTCTAACTTTGTCCCTGAACTGTTGATTCATTACTTGCTCGATGTGTTGCTGTTGCCGTTGTTGCAAAAACCTCTGCTGTGACGGTGTCAGGCTTGAAGGTGTTGAAGGCACAGAACCATTCGAAATGACATTATCAACCACTTGCTGTTCAGGCAGTTGCTGAAGAAGCTGCCCTGGATCTTGTTGTTGTGGCATATTGGAATTCATATAAGATGCCATCAATTGCGGGTTCATCATAAAGTTTTGCATATTCTGATACAACCCAGAAAACTGCATTTGCTGTTGCTGTTGTTGCTGCTGTTGCTGCTGCTGCTGTTGATTAGACACATTCGACCCACCGCTTCTAGAACCAGTCTGCGACGACGAATGAGAATGAACTGCTCTCCCACTGTCCTGGCTCATCCCAACCATATATTTATATATCAGTCACACAAGTTATAACACTCCTTTTTCAAACCCCTGCTGTTGTCTTGGTCTTGCCTGCTCAAAAGATAGAAACAATACAGTATAATATAATATAATATAACTAAACCTTCCAATCAAAACAATAATATCCCACCAAAACGTAACCTGGAAAACCGACAACAAAATCTAAACAATTATATAACCTGATTATATCAATACCTGACCCAATCAAACCCCACTAGATCATCCAATTACACCAATAACTTGCCATTTACAACCTATCAGTTACCTCTAATTGACATGTTTCCATTTCTTTTAACTATTGGACGTTGTAAAGTTTCACGTTTCGATATAAAAATAAGCAATATGGTAAAAGTGAAAAATGTCAAAAGGGATGAGCAAGAACAGCGAAAGGTTTATTAGATTGTGTTTGATCTGTAGGTGAAACTAGGTATTGGGATAGTTAGGAACAAGGTTATTTGATATAAGTTTTGTTTATTTTAGTTTTTGGTGTGTCTGATACGGTTAAATACTGGTTTAGATCTGGGTTTTTGATAAGCAGGCTGGTTTTAGAAAGAGGCTCAGTTTTGGTATCTGGGTATATAAGAAGTGGGACAAGGAGATTGTTTTCAAGTGTGGTTGTGGTTGTGGTTGTGATTGTGGTTATATTACAAAGAGGTCTCGAGATTATTGGGACTCCAAGCTATGAGTACAAAGATTTTTTTTTGCAAGTCAAAGGTGTTTATACATCCTTCGAAAAGTGCTGCTGATAATGTGTCAGGGTTTCTTATTGTCACTAATGAAGTAGGACTGACTAAAGCTGAATCGGTGTTGACTTGGGTTCCTGAGGATGGATTGTCTAGCTCTCAGCTTGCATGGTTAGAGAAAACAGAAATGAGTTTGCTCGATTCCAAGGCCACAAATAATAGTTTGGCAATGAACTCAAGTATACTGTCAACTGCGGTAGGTGTATCTTGGTCTTTTTCAGTGAAACTAAACTCTTTATATTCCATCCAATTTAGAACACCAAGCCCAAGTGGCTGGTGGTACGGTTCTGTTATTATGCATTCGAGATCTCCTCAGGAAGACGACGCTCTACCAATCATATTCTTTCATGATGATTTGTGTACTAGCACCATAGCGAAGAAGAAAAACCTTAACGAATCATTCGATCCTTTTGATTCTTCAGGTGATATATATTGGGGTGCCGTGGACTTCAAAAATGTAGTCGCTGATTGTGTCGATCTGCAACGGACTGTCGTGGATTCGACAATATGGTTAGTAAATGCAACCCTTGATGATCTCAGAAATTTCTCCCCACAGGACGATTACGATGCTGACATCAAGAAGGATCCAAAGGTCCCGTCGAAGTCCCTATGGGAATCCTGGGAAGCTGCTAAATGGGGAGTTATGGCTAAGATCGCAGATGCAACTTCAAAAACAGGCACATTTATGACTAGTATGATAAGAAAACATCCTCTAGTAAAACTAGCTGAACGAAATGCTGATAACCCATACGTGAAAAAACTATTAGAGAATCCTAGGGTTCAGGAAATCCAGGATGATTTCGATTCAGCAAGAGTTTATCTTGCTAAATGGGCCTTAGGTGTCAAAGAACAGTCCGATCGCTACAATTTTAACTACGAATCACAGACAACTTACAGGCAATTGATTAGAAATGATCTTGGAATGAGTGATAAATCCGATATCCAATTCACCGAGTTGGAACTAAGCAAAGCACTAGAAAGGAACCACCCTCTAACAAGACAGAAATGGGAATCGTTTTTCGACGCTCAAGGAAGAATGAACATCACTGTTAATGAAATGAAAGATTATATTTTTCATGGTGGTGTGGAATCCATGGAATTGAGAAAAGAGGTTTGGCTATATCTTTTTGGCGTATACCCTTGGGATTCTTCAACTGATGAGAAAATACAGCTGGAGCAAACTTTACGAGATATTTATATCAATGAGTATAAATCAAAGTGGATGAATAGAACAGAAGACCCTGACCCAGACGAAGAAGAATATTGGCGGGACCAAATTTTTAGAATTGAAAAAGATGTCAAGAGAAATGATCGTCATATCGATCTTTATAAACATGATACAGAAGATGGCTTACCACCTCCAGATGATAATGAAGAGCAAGATGACAAAGATAATGAAGAATCTGAAACATGGTCAAAACACGAAATAAAGAATCCACATCTAATTAAAATGAAGAATATATTAATAAGTTACAATACAATGAACCCTAACTTAGGTTATGTACAAGGTATGACAGATTTATTATCTCCTATTTATTATATTATCAGAGATGAAGCTTTATCATTCTGGTGTTTTGTGAACTTTATGGAACGGATGGAAAGAAATTTTATGAGGGACCAATCTGGAATTAGAGATCAAATGTTGACATTATCAAGTTTATGTCAAATAATGTTGCCACAATTAAGCTCGCATTTAAGCAAATGTGATTCTTCTAATTTATTTTTTTGCTTTAGAATGATTCTGGTGTGGTTCAAACGTGAATTCGAATTCAATGATGTATGCTCCATATGGGAGATTTTTTTAACAGATTACTATTCTTCACAATTTCAATTATTTTTTATGCTGGCTATACTTCAAAAGAATAGTAACGCGGTAATACAAAATCTTTCACAGTTTGATCAAATCTTAAAATATTTTAATGATATTGGGGGGAAAATGGACTGGAACGATTTGATGACAAGAAGTGAACTTCTATTTATAAGATTTAAAAAAATGATGGATTTGATGGAACGCCAAAAGGAAAAACTTGTAGATGATCCTAAAGATGATAACTCGGATACAAACAGTGAATTACCTGTTTCTGATATATATCTTCAACTTCTTCTATCCAAAAAGGTAATTATTGAAAGGGAAGGTGAGAGAACTAAAGATTCTATAAAATAACATTCTTATAAAATACTATCGCATGATTATGAAAGTGAAATTTATGCAGTTAAATTTTTTTTCAGTTTATTTATATATAATGATATAATTTAATGATATTTACTAATGCTATTATGATTATGAATGTCCCATAATTGTCTTATTTTTAGTCAACGGAATCTGAGTTATTTTGAACAGATGCCATGACACATATAACAAATGTGAGATAAAAGAAATTGATGTTCGTGATTATTAAACCATGGAGAAAATGTTGTGCCATCGGCAGTTATGATTTTTCCTCATTTTTTATCAAATCAGGGTCAATTCTGTCTCCCAGTGGTTTGCCTGTTAAAAACTTCAGAATTTTTTTATCTTGACATTGATCTAAGATCTCTTTTGGGAAATAATCCTGTGCTACCTCACCATCTTTATAATCTGGATTATATTTATAACCTTTATGATATCCAAGTTCTTGCATCAATTTAGTTGGTGCATTTCTTATATGCATTGGAATTTCCGCACTTGCCATGGAATATTTATTTTCCTTGATCATTCCTTTTATTTGATTATAAGCTCTGTAGACCTCAACTGATTTTGGTGCCTTTGCCAATGCTACACAACAGTGAGCTAATGCCATATCAGCTTCAGGCAATCCAATCTTCATTACAGCATCATGTGCAGCAATTGCCAACGGAAGCAAAGAATTATCCGCAAGACCAACGTCTTCACTAGCGATGCGTATGAATCGTCTTGCAATATATAACGGATCTTCTCCGCCTTGTAACATTCTGGTCATATAGTATAATGATGAATCCGCATCTCCTCCTCTTATTGCCTTATGTAGGGCAGAAATTGTATCATAATGGTTATCACCACTAGTATCATAATAAGTATTTATCCCTTCCTTACTACTATTACTTTTCACTATTTCCTTTACAGTATCGCTAGTAATTTCAGTTGTTATCTGTCTTGTTGAAATTTCTATCATCTCTAGAATATTAATAGCTCTTCTTGTATCACCTACTGAAACATCTGCAATATACTCAAGAACAGACCTTGGAAGAGTCAATGGTATCTTAACTTTCCATATTAATTTTCGACATTTGTTAAGCAAAGCTATACCTCTTGATAACACAATACATATTTCGTTACTACTTAGTTTCTCAAGCACAAATATATGACATCTACTTATCAGAGCATTGTTCAATTGGAAACTTGGGTTTTCAGTGGTGGCTCCAATTAGTATAATATCACCATTTTCAACATGAGGCAACAACAGATCCTGTTGGGCTTTGTTGAATCTATGAATTTCATCGATAAACAACACTATCCTTCTTTTCGTTAGCTGAAAATCCTTCTTTGCCTTATCGAAAATGGATCTTAATTCTTGGGTATTAGCCTTTGTTGCACTAGTTTCGATTAAATGATAATTAGTCCCGTTTTTAGTAGCTTCTTTAGTCAGCAGTCTTGCTAACGATGTTTTACCAACACCTGGTGGACCCCATAAGATCATTGAAGGGATCGTTCCTTCTTTCACGTATTTGTATAAAGTACCATTTTGCTGTGATAAAATATGTTGTTGACCAACATAATCTCTAATTTCTTGTGGCCTTAATTTTTCACTCAATGGTAAATGACTTATCTTTTGCAATCTTCTGAACTCATACTCACTACTCGTATCCACTTTTTCAATTTTTTGACGTTTGCTAACCTCTGGTGTTAAAACTGATTCATCGCCATTATCTGGTTTCCCAGGGAGTACCACCGTTTCGACAGAATCATCATCAGTGATATCTACAACTACGTCTTGCTGGGGACGTTTCCTATTCTTGAATCCACTTAATACATTTTGTAAAGTAGGTTGTTTCGAAGACGACTTATTGTTAGCTGCTGAATTTGTACATTTATCCAAATGTTCATTTATAGTAGAATAAGGAATCTTTTCGTTACAAATAGGACAGGAGATAAGTTGACCAGAAGTCTTTCTCTGAGAATTCATTATACCACAATGGCTCCCGAATTGTTCGTTGTATTGATCACTATTGTTCCAACCTGGCCAAAACTCAACAACATATGACGATACTTGCAGGAGTTGTCGATGTGTAAAATAATTTTTATCGAGTGCTTTTTCAGGCCCAACTCCTTTAAATATCTCTAGTGGGAAAACAGAGAAAACCAAAGTTTGTTGTTTTGAAAAGTTAAAAGGGACACATAAAGCTCCACAATCAGCATCAGATTACTCATTCTCCTTATGCAATATCCTTCTCACCTCCCCAAATTGTCCCAAATAAAAATCACTAACGCTTCCTCTTACAACAAAGGGAATATATGCAGAAATTACGATCTGGGAACCTAATAAAGACCAAAATATCGGTACAGCACATCTCCAAATTCACATACAACTGAACAAAGTTCAGTCACGTAGATATATTTGTCTAATTTTGATCCATTTCCTTGGTCATTCCTTCCATTAACCTTAAGAATTTAGCCATCTCTGTAACTTTACCATCTGGAACAGCAGAAACTTGGTTCAAAATTCGATCAAAACCTAAAACACACCTTATTGAACATCTACAACATCATCCAAACACATCTCTTATCCTTATAACCCACTTTCTTCTCAACTTCATCTATTTAAGGGATGAGGTAATCCTCCCATTCTTATTTAAATATCTGAAATAATTTGATCCATAACATTTTAAATGGCGTCGATCAAACTTGTATAAGAACAATTTAGTTTTAAATGCTATAAGAAGTGGTTCAATCGATTAGTTGAGGGTCTCTAAGGATCATTATATGTTTACGATTGAGATGATGGGGCTTAAAACGTTTGGTTCGTTTATTCTGATTGCTAGTTTGTTCATATCGAGGGTTTATATTCAGCCCAAGTATTCTTTAATATCAGATTGCGATGAAACCTTTAATTATTGGGAGCCATTGAACTTATTAGTTCGTGGATTTGGTAAACAGACTTGGGAATATTCACCAGAATATTCAATTAGATCGTGGGCATTTCTATTGCCATTCTATTTTGTTTTATATCCATTTAAATACTATGGTTTGCTAAATAGTGAACAAGATTATTTTTATATTACAAGAGGATTCTTAGGGTTGGTTAGTTTTATCTTTGAAATTGGGTTATCCAAGGAGATTGGTTCTACTTTGTCTGAAAATATTGGAAGTATTTGGCTATTTTTGCAGTTATTTAACCCTGGTTGGTTTCATGCTTCTGTAGAATTATTACCTTCTTCTTTTGCCATGATATTATATTTGGGTTCTATCAAGTATGCTTTAAGGTATCTATCTAGAGATTGTACTGCCAGTTTCTTGGCTAGTTTGACCTTCAATTTCGTGGCTGGTATTATGGGCTGGCCTTTTGTTTTGGTTTTAAGCGTCCCATTAGTGATTCATTACTTATTCACCCATAAAATAATGTGGACTCTAAGAACTGCTTTTGATTCAACTGTAATTATAACAGTAATTGCTTCCATTATTTTCACCATCGATTCATATTTCTATGGAAAGTTTGCGCCAGTATCGTGGAACATATTGTCTTACAATGTCATTAATGCAGATCAAAATTCAGGCCCTGATATCTTTGGTGTAGAACCATGGTCTTATTACGTACTAAATTTAATCCTAAATTTCCCATTACCAGTATTAATATTTTCAATAATGGGTATAGCAAATTGGAGAATTTGGCCTTTGACCGTTTCAAAACTTTCATGGTTAGGTGTTTTCTTTTTACAACCACATAAAGAAGAAAGATTTTTATACCCTATTTATGGATTGATCTCCTTATCTGCCGCAATTGGTTTCCACCAATTTTCAAATATCTTTTTTGGTAAGATGAAAGTATTCAAATCAATTGTTAAAGTTGCGTTGTTACTAATTATTGCTCTTCAGTCCGCCTCAAGAATTTTGGCTCTAATATTCAATTATACTGCTCCAATCACCCTTTATTCCGAACTTTACACTCTTGGAAAGGATGATAAAGTCTTAGCACAAGATTCATTTACCAATGTATGTACAGGTCGTGAGTGGTACCATTTTCCAAATTCTTTCTTCCTGCCAGAAAACCACCGCCTAAGATTTATTCGTTCTGGTTTCGATGGATTACTACCTGGTGATTTTATGGAAGATGTTTCTATTTTTGATGCGGTAAGAACTTTACCAAAGGGTATGAATAGCAAAAATATATTTGATGAGGGAAAATTATGGCCAGTTACCAATTGTGATTACTTTGTTGATATATCTATCCCAACTGACAAATCAAAGGATGCCTTGAACCCTTCAGACATGCCTAGAAATTGGAACAAGATATCATGTACAGAATTCATTAATGTAGATGATTCCAAAATACTGGGAAGATCTTTTTACATCCCTTCAACTATCGCTAAATTTGTTGCTAAATTTAGTCCAAAATATTGGAACAAGTTATATGGGGTTAATTACATCGATTACTGTGTCTACGAAAAAACAGAAATTGTTCAAGATAACACATCCATTTAATTTGTTTGATAAATTTCATATATTGACTTTTTATTTTATTTCTATTTCACGTACGTTCTCATTTGAATTTTATTTTATATATTTCTACAGCTTCTTAGCTGTTTTTAGATACGTTTGTAAATTATCTTTTTTTAGTTATATTTGTCATTACTATAATTAAATAAATAGTACTTAACCAATTGATATGGTAATTATCAATCAAAAATCATTATTTAAATACTTTTTCATGTGATCGTAAATGTCTGATGTCTAAAATAATTTTGATGCTTCGAAAAGATCATCAACATTAAGAAGGTCAATTCCTAGTTGATGAATTTCTTGAGTCCAAACTTCTTTTGTAAACGTATCAGGACCCTCAGGAACATCCCAAATTCTTGTTTTCAAATTCTTTCCGTGTGCATCATCAACAAACCTTTTAATACAACTTATTTGATCATCTGATAGTTTACCTTGTGTCTTTACTTTGGAAACACTTGACTTACAATCTTTCAAAAGTTTTGAAAAAGATGTAGAAGTGGCTAGAGAGAATCCATTATCTGTTGAATCCAGGTCATCCAAAACAGACTCTGGAAAACCATATCTTTTATTATCATGAAAGTAACCTTTTTCTAAATCATTACCATCAATTATCGATAGACTGTTTGGGGAGGCACCAGTTAAAACTACCGTTACAGGCTTCCATTTTATTTCCGAATTCTCCATATCATAATAAGTAACATAATCTTTTTGAATCAAAGGTTGTAAATACTTGTTCATAAGTATGTCATAAACTAACTTACTATCCTTGGATTTAAAATCAATGTGCAAAAATACAGTAGTATTGGGATAATCATAAAATACACCTCTAGGCTCAGAATTTTTATCACTAGTATCGTTGCAATTAACACTATCTAGCAATTCCAATAACGGTCCTGTATACAATGATTCGAGATTATCAATCTCTGGCTTCAATCCGTGTTTACTATGACCTACAGCTAATGTATAAGCGTCCCATTCGTTAACTAAGTCAGTATCCTTTGGAAGCTTATTCTTAATTATCCAAACATCAGCTTCAGTGCTAGTAGCTCCTACTGCCAGACCTTCAAATAAAGGGAAGTCTCTCCAATAATCATTATGGGAATGAACTGGAATTGGTTTGACATTTTTTGTTAATTTTGCAGGAATAGAATTTTCCAATGAACAATTATTACTAACACTTGAATTAAATAAGTAATAACGTAGGATTTCATATAATTTTGTCGAATCGTTTACTTTTTCATTTACTTGATGTTCTTGGTAAAACATTTTGTCACTTAAAATGCTTTTAGAGTTATTTTGGAAGTAAGTGATTAGATTTTCTCCTGTCAAACCCATAGAAGACACTTCATCGAAAGCGTCATTTAGAGAAGAACACCTTGTTGCTATATTAGAGTACATAGTTTCCTCATTACTCCATATTGTTAGTGTTAATATGGTGTAAACGAGAGATAGATATCCAACAAGTATTAGAACCCA